TGCACTGGACGCCGCGCATGGGGGCCATGCCTACCGCGAGTCGCTGGAGCGGGTCGCGCAGCGGCTGCGCCAGCCCGAGCTGTGCCCGTCGGCCCGGATGCTGGCGGTCATGCACGCGGAGTTCGACGACAGCTATGTCGGCTTCATCCGCCGCCAGAGCGACACCACCCGCGCCGCGCTGCTGGCGCTGCCCTATCCCGACGCGCTGCAGCGCCGCTTCGAGCGGCTGGCGCTGGAGTCGCTCGCCGAGCAGGCCCGCATCGAGGCGGCCGACACGATGGACTTCGAGACCTTCCGCCGGCAGTACGTGTCGCCGGAGCGCATGGCGGTCTGAACAAAAAAAGACCCGGTCAGCAAGCTGCCGGGTCTGGAAGCCCTCGGGATCGAGGACGTCGTTGGGATGAGTCACTGTAGGCGGCCAGTCCCGGCCGCGGTGGGCAATATTTACCCCCCCGGGTGCCGATAATCCCGCCATGCCCCAAGCCCCGCACCGCCCGCCCGAATCCTTGTCCGAGGCCGACCTCGAACGCCTGCAGGCCCTGCTGGATGCGCTGCCCGCGCCCCTGGAGCCGCTGGACGTCAGCATGGCCGACGGCTACCTCTGCGGCGTGCTGTTGCAGCCCGAGCCGGTGCCGCTGTCGCAGTGGTTGCCGCCGCTGCTGGACAGCGAGGGCCGGCCGACGCCGGCGCGGGTGGACGACGAACTGCTCGCGCTGCTGCGCCGCCGGCACAAGGAGCTCAACGTCGCCATTCGCCGGCCGGCAGTGGTTCGATCCGTGGATCTTCGAACTCGACGAGGTCGAGAACCCGAGTGAGACGGTGCTGCCCTGGGTCGCCGGCTTCGCGCATGCGCTGGACGCCCATCCGGCGCTGATGCGCCTGCCCGAGGAGCCGATGCTGGAGCCGCTGGCGGCCATCTACCTGCACCTGGACCCGGACGACCTCGAAGACGCGGACGCGCTGCTGGAGGAGATCGAGTCTCTCGAGCCGCCGGCCGACCTGGAGGAGGCCGTGGAGGGGCTTGTCAGCGCGGTGCTCATGCTCGCGGACGTGTCGCGCCCGCTGCGCCCGGCGCCGGGT